GTTTGGTGTTGAAAGGGGATCTTGTTTCCCTAGTTTGGTAGGTTTCTTATGTGATTAGGAGTCCCGGTTCTAGTTGGATTTGTGGCTAGGGGCAGCCATGTTTTGCGTATAAATAGAAGAGGGGTTGAGGCTAGAAGTATATCAACTTTTCAGAAGAGAAAAGTTAAAGATTGCTTCGAGGCTTCAATTTTAGTTTGTGAGTTAACATATAAGTGCTTTAGATGCACTTTTTAAACACATATTCATGCAATTTGTAAACACATCTTCGTGTAATAAAGTTGATCTACTTTTAAGAGTTTGGTCGAGACGTGTTTTTCTAGATCCCAACGGTTAGACTGGCATCTACCGAGCGGTCTAACGGGCGGGAGGTCCGTCCGGTGGCAAGACGATGGTCAGACCAATGGCGAGCAGTGGTCAGACCGGTGGGGGTACTACGGTGAGACCGGTGGCGATCCAGCGGTATGACCGGTGCAATTTCGTCTAATTTGAGGGTAACTTTTATTTTCGCTAAAAGTTTTTTGTTTTTGTTGTTCCTACCATTCACCCCCTACTACACGTATTTTATCTGAAAAACTGAGTGACTTGGGACTTTGTGGCATATATACATATCTATTAAAACATGGAAGATTTTTTTTAGAATTTTCGCACCTGAAAAGTCAAAATTCAGAACATACTGGGCTTGGCTCTAATCTGTACCAAGCTTGAGCCTTGGCAGGTAAAGCTCGTTTGAGCTTGGCTCATTGATAGACCTAGCATGGACCCACCGTGAAGGACTCCATAGAAATTCTCATTTTGTGTAAATATTATATATCACAAAACTTGATTTTGCAGCCAAGAGAATGCACTGTATATAAGCAATAACTGACACATGATATGATTTGCGGCTGATGCTATATAGTGGACAATGCGATTTTCGTTAGTTCTTTTTTGGATGAACAAATTAATGACACGATATAATACTAAGATGTACATATGAAACTGTAACAAGAAGAAACCATGTATTTATCTTTTTGAAAGATGAGAGGATAGAACCGAAAGCTAGTTGGTGGCTTCCTATGGATGCAGGTCACAAGTTAAAAAAAAAAAGGTGGGGGCAAGAGACTCTTTCACTATATGTATGCATGATGAGTCACATGACTTCATGGTTTTTACCCTTCTGCGCTTCCAATTAAGAACTAAAAGTTGCAAAGCTTAGGGTAGGGGTGAAAACGGTACGGAAACGGACGGAAATCATCTTTATCGTTTTTGTTTTCATATTTTTTTCGGAATCGAAATCAGAATCGGAAACCCCGGAGACGAAAACGGAATCGAATATTATCGAAACCGAAAAAGGAGCGAAAACGAACCGGCGCGAATACGGTAACGAAAATTTATCGGAATAAAAAAAACCCTTAAACTAATAAACCCAATTCTCAACTCTCAATGGTCAACAATTCATCATAAAACACAATCATATAAGTCCAATTGTTAAGTATCAACAGTACATCATAAAACATAATCTGTGTAATAAATTAGTAATGCTGTTGATAAATCCCAATGCAGGGAAAAAATATTCTTATGTAATTTTAGATTTGCATAACAAATATTTTTTAAAAAAATAACAGCCAAACACCATAGTATTAACTATTCAGTGCTTAAAAAAAGAATCCAAGCTATTTTGTGATTTCTGGAAATTCCGATAAAAATTTCAGAAATTCTGAGAAAATTTCCGGAAAGTTTCCGACTGATTCCGAGTTCCGACGGAAACTGCCATTATCATTTTCGATTCTGTTTCTGAGAAAATATTTCCGAATCCTTTTCCATTGCCGAAAAATTCCAAAAAAATTCCGACCGACAGATTCCATTTTCGAAAATAGGTCTGGAATCCAGAAAGTTTCCGTACCGTTTTCACCCCTAGCTCAGGGTGCTTATTTGCCAAAACAATTATTTCTGTTTTAAAATAAGGAATGTGATGCTTTATGAAAATACAAATCCATCAGATTTTACCCAGGATTTATTTGGTCTGCTGGTTTCATTTTATCCAAACAATCATCAAAGTTTGTCCATGTTCAAATATTCATTAGATCATATGATTTGAGTAAATAATTGATCTCTATGATAATCAGGAGAGAATTCATTAGTAGCCAATGACGTTCTTTGGAGAATCATGTTTATGCCCCAACTGTCAAACTCAATTATGATTTTACCCTTATTTTTTAGTGTTTACGAATTTACCTCAACATTTTTTTTAAGATGAAGTCACCATTTTTCCTTACTATGGATGTCAGTTAGATCGATCGGTTCCACAATACTGAGAGCTTTTTTTTTTTTTGTTGAGAAACACGGTACAATCGCAGGCGCTCACAACACGCGCACAGTACTGAGAGTTAAAGAAATAGAAATGGAAAGGGAAAGATGATTTACGAAATATGGGATTACTCTTCTACCCCTGAGTAATATCGATGCCTCCCAAGACCTCATCGTTTCCATCCCGGGTAGGGATGAAAACGGTTCGAATATGGTCGAAAACTAGCACTATCATATTCGTTTTCATATTTTTTTTCGGAATCGAAATCGGAATCGGAAACCCGGATATAAAAATGGAATCGAATATTATCGAATACAAATACGGAGCGAATACGAAGCGAAACGAATACGGTGATGGATATTAATCGGAATATAAAAAACCCTCAATCTAAGCATCACAAGTCAACGAAGAAATATAACTCGTTATTTTTTTAATAGGACATCAGCCATGTTAGTCGTTCACCCTTAAACGACAGTCACAACTCAAAATTGCCCTCCAGAAAATTAATCCTACGACCTCCATTTCCTGCGCTTCTGTTTGTTCAGACCGGATCGAGATGTTTGCACCGTCGCCGGCGTCCACTCCACTGGTCTGCAATATAGCTGCAGGTGTGCCACTACCGGCCGGCTGCAACCTCCGCCAGCTTGCCCGGATCGAAGCCCTGGTGCTCCGTCGTCCTCGTGCTCCTCGTCTTCCTCGGCTCGTCCAGCGGTCCAGGCGCTACAGCAGCAGCGCCATGGTCCAGTTCGTCCTATGGTGCGCCTTCGCGGTGTCCTACCTGCTCGCCGCCGGCCTCATGCGGCGGCGCCGGAGGCTGTGGCGGGCGAGGAGGCGGCGCCGACAAAGAGGCGGCGGCTGTTGGCCGACGCGACGACGCCGACGAAAAGGCGGCGGCTGTGGTGATGGGAGACGAGACGGCGGCGGCAGTGAAGGGGCGAGGCAGCGGTGGGCAGTGGCGGCGGCCGCCTAGATGCGTGGGGGATTTGGGAGGCAGCGGCTGTTGTGTTGTCTGTTGCTAGCTAGCTAGGTTTAGTTGAAACTTCACATAACACAGTACACGCATAGTTGGGTTGGGTTGGGCTCCTTGGGCTGCTCCTTGGCTGATTCATATGAATGGCTGATGGAGTACTCCGATATCCGGAAAAAATCCCGGATAGTTTTCGACCGTTTTCCGATTCTGTCGGATATCACCATTACTGTATTCGTTTTCGTATCCGAGAAAAAAAATCCAAATTCGTTTCCGAATCCGAGAAATTCCGGATAGTTCCGACCGAATTTTTCCGAATCCGAAAATTGGTCCGGACAAACGGAAACTATCCGAACCAGTTTCATCCCTAATCCTGGGGAGGAGATCGAGCATGCAGCAGGCCGCGGCGGCGTCTCCTCGGTGGGGCATGACAGAAGGCAGACGGCCGGAGGGGAGGTTTCCTACATGCAATATGTACGTAATTCCTCCTTGATTTGCAGCCACCAAAATAGTTTTTGTATCCCTGGCCAAATCGATTTCTTGTCGTCGGTGATGAGGTTGATTCCTCCATCGTGGGCATCGTCGGAATCACATTTTTTTTTTTGTATGGGTGCCAACAGTTGTGGGAAAATGAATGTTTGCGGTGGCGGAGCGGAGATGTCGGCAGCGATGCAGAGGCGTTAGGGTGCCTGCGCCATTGGCTAGGGACGAGAGGAAAGACTAGGATGATGTGTGCTCGATCTATTGATTGATGCTAAGTACTCCATCCATTCCAAATTGATCTACATATAGTTTTTTTAGGTTATTTCTAAATGTTCGACATATTTGTGTTCATTTATTAAGCCTATTCGTTATTTGTGTATTGGAGTAAATGGACATTGATGCATGCATTCATGCACACAAGTATTTATAATCCACATGTAATATCTTGATTTGCTATTGGCTAGGAAATATTGGGGATGGTGTATGCATTGAGTTTGTTGCTAGAGTAAATATAGTATGAGAGAGTTATTAGCTTTTTTTTTTGTCTTGGTGTACCTATGAAATATGTAGATCAATTTGGAATGGAGGGAGTATTAATTTTCTTTAAGAAAAGCAGATCCTAACATTTTCAGAATGATAAGAACTTGATACTGTGCAAGTCCAGGCACGGATACAATGTGCTAAATTTTACAAAAAATAAAAAAATTGCAGTGGTCACCGTTGATCCAACCGATGACAGATAAGGGGATTAATCCTTGATGATTTTGATTATCTTTTTCATTGCTAATTCGTTCCTTATTTAATTTAACCATCATGTGCTAGTTATAGTTCTGTCAAAATTTTATCAAATCCTGCCAAAATTTAATTCAAATTCTATCGAACTGTCATATTTGTCAAAAATAAGATCATATTTAAATTGTTTCACAAAAAATTAGTTGAAAACGTTTTGAAGTTTCATGCACAAAATAGGGGTAAAAGCAAGTGCTATCCAAAAGTTGGGACAGATATGCAACAGCAAAGAAGGGTATAATTGTGTTTTCGCGCTTGAGTTAACAACGTTAAATTGATCATTCAAACCAGGGCAAATCTTTCATTCATTTCAAAAAAAAAGGGAGAAAACGTAAACCCTAAAAAAAGGCTAATATCACACTCGGACTTCAAAGTAGGGGTAAGAACTAAGAACACAACATATAGCCCCTAAGTTATTTTCTTCATGATCTCTCAAGAAGGCCTTTATGTGCAAATAAGAAGCTATATACTTACCACAAGTTTTCATCTCGCAAAAGATCACGCCATTTGTTATGCCATTTACTATACCGTTCGCCCATGGTAATTTTTCTGGTGGCTTGTACTTATTGGTGAATGAAAATCTTAATATCGATAATACCTGTATGCGCAAAAAGAGAAATGGATTAGTCATGACAAGTAATTACAACATTGACTGCATTGGAAAATGGAAACATCTACTTATATGGATAAATGTATACAATCTTAAGTATTATGATAAAAATAATTTATTAAAAAGAGATAATTTCATTTTTCCCCTTGTATATAAATAACAAAGGATGGATTCTGGAGTTTTTTTAAGCTATTGGTGTGAGTAGTTTAATAAAAAAATCTCCTTTAATTTTGCCACTTGTTACAACCATATTCTCTCTCCATCGAAAATTTTGACATTAAATAATTGACTTCAAAACAACTAATCATATTTTTTTGAGAGAAAGATCATGAGATTAAAAAAAATAAAAGAATATAATATTTTAAATAAAAAAAGTCAAACCAAATTTAAAATACGAAGCATTAAATAAGATTCCCGCGCATCCCTCTTGGTTGCATCAATAGTTGTGGTTTTCCATTCTAGCTTAGTACTAACACATTATAGGGAGTAAACTGCTGGTAATCTAACAAAAAATTACTATGAATAATTTTTAACAGAAGCTAACCTTCCCGGAGAATTCAGATGGTTGTCTTTTAGAACCCTCAAATATTACATAATCATAAATGATTGTCATTCAACACTATGTGATTTTGCATCGAGGGTGACATATTGAAATGTATATCACAAAACATGAATAACTTACACATTCCTAACACTACGTCAGGTTTACTTTCACTGCACAGAAAGCTTGAATGATATAATATTTGATCAAACTCTATAACTCAATGTTTACCTCTGCTTTTTTTTGCTACTTGTAGTGAAACGTCGAGCCTTCTGGAATACAATGCAATGCTTGTTTTTCACCAACAAAGCAGCAACTCGCTGTCCTGAATTAATCCAATAATGGTTCCAGTGTATATTTAGTCTCCCTACTTGAAAAGCTCGAACTATGTGCCTCTGAGAAAATGGAAAAAAGAAAGAAGCAATAAATAAATAATTTGGTAAACATATTTCTCAAACTACGTAGAAGTGGGACAATGAAACAAATGCTTACCTGACAGGTTATCTTGGTAATGCAATTTCCACGTCAAGAGAAGAGGAAGTACAAACTGTCAACAGCTTGAAAAATATTGAAACAAGGAAGAAACAAAAATATTTTTGGAGCTTTTGATCAAAAACTACAGCTAATGTGCAGGAAAACCAAAATATTTTTGGATTTTTTGGTAGTTTTTCATAAATTGCAACAGAGAGAAACCTATTGTGTGGGAAAACCGAAATAGTTTTGGAGGTTTTAGATCAATTATTATAGAGAGAAACCAAAATATTTTTTGATGCTTTTCGACAACCACAACAGAGAGAAGCCTAATGTGGGAGGAAAACAATTTTTTTTTGGATTTTTTGGAGGTCTTTTTATCAACCACTACAAAGAAAGCTAATATGCGGGAAAAAACAGTTTGTTTTTGGAATTTTTGAGGTTTTTATCAACCACAGCAGAGAGAATCCTGATGTGGGAGGAAAACAATTTTTTTGGGATATTTTGGATGTCTTTTTATCAACCACTACAGAGAACCTAATATGCAGGAAAAACAGTTTTTCTTTTTGGATTTTTCTGAGGTTTTTGTCACCACTACAGAGAGAAACCTAATTTGGGTGGAAGCCGAAATATTTTTGGATTTTTTATTTTTTTTGACAAATAGAATATCAGAATGGAACAAGAGTAGTTTTTTTTTCTTTTTCTGTACTGGTTACTACAAACAAGTGCTTAAATGGAAGCTTAAGAGAAGAACAGTGAGCAGATTGCAGCAAAAAGAATGGCTAGTTAGGAAGGAATGGAGGGGGCAAGGAAACCTGCCATTGCAGCACTCTCTCATATATAACAGAGGGGCATGACATCAACAGGTTACTTTAATTATCTGTAGAACAAAGCAAGGGATGATATTCTCTGCATAGGTAAAGCCTAAAGGAACACATATGTCGGAAGCAACGAACCGTATCCTGCATGCTTTAAAGGAAAAGAGCAAAAGAAACAAGGAGAAAACGACTTGCCATGTGCATCAAAGCCTGCTTTAATGATTATGCTCGGCCATGTATCCAAAGCAATCTGCCTCAACGAATGATCATGAGTAGAACAACTGCAAGGGTTAATGGGTGAAGCTAGAGTTATTTTTCTCTATTCTGCAGCTGTGAAATAAGTATAGCTCAACTGGTTAGGTTCTTTTTTTGAAACTAGCCCACCTAAATTGAAATCCTAAATTTAACATGGGTGCTCGTATTTACGGCTAATTATTCTTTCAGTTATAGGCGACATATCTATTGATAGGAAGGCGAACGTTGTAACTTTGTCAATATCGAGGTATGCTAGCCAAGTCTTTTAGAGGTGATTATAAGGATATATGGTTCTTTACAGCTTTCTCTCAGCCCACCCATATAATAGTTAGCTCTTTACAATTAATATAGGCCCCACTTGTCTCTCTCACAGAGTTTCTTGGTTCTTGTGTTCAAGCCGGCTGTAAGTTTACAGCCCGCTTCTCCTCTCTCTCATCTCTTCTCTCATCCACCTCAGCATTTAATCGGCTTACAGCCTACTATTATACTTGCTCTTATGCAGGAGGCAACCTCCACACAAACTTTAAGATAGATGTGAGAGTATTAGAGGTATTGATATTTGTGCATTAGAGGTAATATATTGTATATGTTGCCTCTTAATTTATTAGTGAGTAATATAGAAGAACTGAAGGTAGTAGTCTCCTGTACCATAGAACTTGCTCTCAGAGATATATGGAGGTGTGCGTATATGGAAAATGAGTTATAAATAATGTAATTTGTGGTTTGCTAGGGCGATGCATGTGGTTTTAGATATAAATAGGCTAGAGGATGATGCAAGAAATGAGACAAACTTGTGGACAAAATTACGCTTTAGTCCATTCGCTCATCCATCTAGGGTTTAGCCCATGATTTCAGAGGGATGCTGTGGGTACGTCTTAAAAAACTTCAAGGAAATAAATTTTGTCATCAATACAGCAAGAAGTATATGTGGAAATCTTGCAACTTTTTGTTTATGTTCTTCCATTTTGCTTTGTTTTGGCTTAAAACATGACTTCACTTTTTCGTGCAAATTTATTCAAGTTGTTCCACTCAAAACCTTGTTAGGAGTTAGGACACTAGGGAAGAGTTATGAAAAAGTTTGTGTTGGAGTATATCGATGGAACAGAGTATCCAGTTGTTGCAGTAGATAGGATTAGTTTTCATCTACATATATCTAGGATTTGAGATCCAACTCATATACTCTTTATCCATATCGGCCCCTTGAGGTTAAATACAATCGAATCCAATATTACGCAGCACATCTTCTTGTACAAAATTTCAACCGCCGCTCTAACATTTTCGCCACCATCGTCCCTGGGTGTATTCATCTACTGAGGGCAGCCACCCATTTAGTTTTGTTTATTGTCGTTGCTCTTAACCATCATCGTCATCGAGTCAAGCAGCAGTAGCACCACCCCCGCGCATCGTCACCACTTGGGTATATGGCACTGATCTGGATCCATTGTCATCATCAGCCTACAGCTACTCTTGATTGATTTATTGTCCGTAGTTTTGGAGTAATTTGGGTTTCTATATTCCGTTTATGTTTTCCAAGTTTTGTACTACAATAATTTTTTGGAGGCAATATCTCAAGCTACACAAGTCCGAAATGATTCTTGTTGGGCTAGTTTTGTCGTGAAGTTTAGTTTCTTGTATATGTCAATCCAATAGTTCAATAGTATGATATTTGTGTTTTACAGAAGCTCTGTCAAGCTCCAGGGGTATGGACCAAACCCTGTATCCTTGTCTGACAGACAGTTAGATATGTGTGCTTTTGAGTTTTGAGGTTGGGTGAGTTTCGATACTTCAATGTTTGAATTCATGGCTTCCGCTGACCTTTTTTTTTTCTTTTTTTGAGAAACGCTTCCACTGACTTCAGGTACCATTCATCACCCTCTAGTAGGCTTGGTTGCCTTGTCTCGATCTTACAAATGATGTGGGGAGAACACGAGATACCAGCCGCTCGAGACATCCCGCACGTCATTGCCGATGTTCCTTGCACTAGACCACACATATATTGTTTTGCATTCTAGATAGTGGACACTTGAAATGGCGAGCGAAGAAAATATTAGTAGAGGAAAGACTTCTCTTCTTAATATGTTGGTTCTCTATTTTTAATTTTCCTTGCATAAATGTATAAACTTGTTTTATAAAACCAAGCTATCCTTGCCATTGCCAAGTTAGCAATGCACAACTTGAACTTCATTGCCATTGCCAAGTTTGCCTTCGCTAAGCATTGGAGAACCAAAATTGGGTATTGGACATCGAAGAGCCTTCAACGGTTGTGGTTAATACATAGTATCTTCACATCCCGGAGATATTGCAATGGGTGATCCTACATGATGGGCTAGATCATCACCAATGGAAGCTTACTAGCTCGGGACTATACACATCCAAATCTGCTTACGACATTTCTTTATTGGAACCATTCGGTTTGCTCCTTGGAGTAGGATTTGGATCAGTTGAGCCCCTCTAAAATGCAAGTTTTTTATATGGCTTGTAGTTTACAACATATGTTGGACAGCCAACCGTCTTGCCAAGCGAGGTTTGCCCCATCCGGAGGCTTGATCTCTTTGTGACCAAGCGATGGAATCCATACAATATATATTGGTCAATTATGTGTTTAGCGGGCAAGTTTGGATTTTGATCTTGCAAAGGCTTGTATTTTTTTTCACTCTACCCGATCAAATTACTAGAGTCTTCTCCAGTTAGTGGTCAAGAGCAGCGAAAAAGGTTGAGAAAGAATTAGTTGGTGGTCAAGAGCAATGAAAGGGTTGAGAAAGAATGAGTAAAAGGGGGCTCAACCCGATGATTATTTTGAGTGGTGGAAGTTCCGGTATGTCGAGATATGGCACTCGCACTTCTTCACTGATTGTCTTGTTTTCACTCCTTGTAAAGTGCATGCATGCGTGATTAGCTGGATTAACTTCTTCACTGGTGGTAAAGTGCATGCATGCGTAATTAGCTGGTCTGACTTTGTTGTTAGTTAGTTACATGAAGCAACCAACCTATACCGATTATCTTGTTTTTACTTCGTGTAATTAGCTAAGTATATAAGCTCTAGTAGTTAGATAAAGGTTTAATCTATTGGTCTGGCAATTTCTATCTTCCAAAAATAATAGTTGAACAAAATTTGATCAAATTTGGATATATTTTGCTAAATTCACAAAAAAGTTTTTTGAAAATTTCGTTCAGGAATTTTGAATCCTAACACAGATTAATATGATTTGTTGCATCAAAACAATTTTGCAATAACTTCTAGCGGTGCATGGGAGCACATTGCAAATCCATAGCGTTTACCTAGTATTATGTTGCTGCCCAACTTATTTTTTTCTCATCCTCCGCCACTGATTATGTTGGTAGCTTGGGAGATTTTATAACATAGAAGCAACTGTGTTTTTAGTGGGGCTAATCGTAATGTGGAAGTTGTCCTCCAAGCAGTGGCTACGAGGGTGCCCTTTGGTGCTTGGCAGGAGCATCAAGGCTACATGAGCTTTTTGCTATAGCAATAGTGCTAGCTCCATAGGGAGGTTGACCGGTGTGGGTGTTTTTTGTTTTTTGTGTTTTTCTTTTGTGTTTGGTGTTATCTGTTGTAACATCTTGGTGATGGGATTCACCGACCACCTTCTTCCTCTCTTAATGAAATAATATGCATGTCTCCTGTGTATTTGAAGAGAAACTTGAACTTCATCATGAGTATCAGGCTTGTTCTGAAGAATTTAAGATGCGAAGTATCACAAATAAAAGGTTTAACCAATAAATGAATATATAGTTGAGGGACTAAAATAAACTGATGAATACACAATAGAAAGGTGGGCTGATAAAGAAGATAACACATTTAGAGTAAATTGCATTCATACTACAACAACTTGGCTGTTTACTTAAAAAGACTTAAAAATTTAATGCCCCAGTATAACAACTTGGCAAGTAGGTACGTTACAATACAATAACTCATCAACCTAGTATTTTGATGCGACAACTTGGCTAGGTATGTGCTATTGTAGTCAACGAGTGCTAGATGAGTTTTTTTACGATGACAATATGCCATCACATAGTGAATCATGAGGATATTACCTTACAATTTTGGATTTAATCTATAAGAAATGTTGCTCATTCAATTTGCACCACCAGTTTTTTTCTTCACCTTCTCAAATCTCAACAGAAATAAAAAAAATTCCCCATAGTAAAATTTACTTGAATTTTAGTGACTAGATTGAACAAATGTACTTATCCAAATTTGTGCAGGTATATTGACAAAATAAGTACTTAAAAACTAGATGTGTCTAGGAAAAACTGCTCAAAATAATTACGTTGTTGCATCATTTTTAAGTCTTTTTTGAGACAACATCATTTATTAAGTTATTATACCAAAATCACGTCCACCTTACAAGTTGTTGTACCTTTCTTATACTAGATTGCTTCTAGTTGCCAAGTTATTACACTTATATACTCATTTCTAAAGTTATTGTACTGAATTGCACCCACTTGCTAAGTTAGTGTACCGTGAACGCAATTTACTCATACATTTAAATAAGATGAATATGTCAACCTAGTGCTAGGCATAAAGATGAAAATGCTCACTAGTGAAACTTGGCAATTCATTCTTTATAATTAACTAACAAGTTTATATCGTATTCCCCACACATCACTACGTGCTTTACAACAAGAAAGGCATACACTAAAGTAATAGCATTAATTGTTATATAGGAGCGCTAATATCTGGAAGCAAACTTTTACTTTTACATAGGATAAACTAGTCTAGTTGTCACCGGATGGCTGGCCATGAGACTGATCACGTAAGGAAGCTAAACTTTTATTTGAATATATCTATAGTAATATAAAAAGGATGAGTTTTGCCTTCCAATCCTCCTCGGCGGTTCCCCTACTCTAACATCGCCCCGGCAACCAGTCCTACTCGCCGCGCGCATCCATCTCCGTTGTTGTCCTCACTTCTGGCGGCATTGCGGCATCGCCACCGTGTCGCGCCACCCGGTCGTCCTCCCTTCTACAGCTGCTGCAATGCAAGGTGCAGGCTCTGCTCACAATGCACAGCTCCACCGTGCCCCCGGTCGCTGGTCCTCTCAGCTGCGTGCCTTCTCCCTTCAACTGACGTTGCCGTGCTCTCTTCTGCCTCGCCTTACTTGAATGGACAAAGGTTGCTTCGATCCACGCAGGATTTGCCGTTGGATTACTTTGGTATTGCCTCAAACCCTGAACCTCTCTTCTTTGAATCTTGTTACGTGTATGTTAAATGGAGTTCAACTTCAAGAAGAGTTATTTTTTCCAACTAGAATCAACTCAAAGCAATCTTAATGGATGATCCAACTTCAGTTTGAAAATATATGGAATAACAGCATCTTTATAATAATGCGTTCTTATTAGTTTCAAAACCCATTACTCTCTTTCAAATTTGACTTGACTATATAAAAATCAAGTTTAATTCCTTTTCTGTTTTAGTGATCTTCTTGTTACCAATATAAATTTCATGTGCTATTGTATTTTAATTGTATGCAACAATGAGCTCTTTTCTCGTATGTTTTAGCTTGAATGGGAATTAACAAGAAGCTTGGTTTATTTATTTTATCACCACATTGAAATAAATCGCCTTGCATACATATTGTGATAGCAAAATGTTAGGATGATGCAATATTTAATATGAAAAACGTACATTGCACGTGCAACTAGTTATATGTATAAGTATGTGTATAAGCACACCAATACTGGCGGGGAACGTACTCATGTTGGTACTAAAATGCAGATACATTTTTTCTCCTTTTTTAGACATGCTGATATATGGAAGCTGGGATGAGCACTGTGAAATATGTGGATTGTTTGGTGGTATATATAATGGTATGTGACTGTGTATATATACAAGTAGATGATATCCCGCGTGTTGCTGCGGGCATGAGAGAGAAGTTTTGAACATGCTATATGAGCAAATTAAGTATTGAGAAGGAAAGAGAAATTACTATAAGACTTTATAAAAGCTTTAAAGTAGTAAAAATAACTAAATATTATATATACTTTGAGGTATCTCCACTCAGGTAGCGGTGGTTGGCAAATTGTTGACGAAAAATTCACGCTTGGCCAATGGTACTAGATCTATGTTGGCACGAACTAAGTCGACGAACACAACGGCATGTGAGATCTGCTTAGCTCCAGTACAGTTTCAAAATATTGATGAGATACGGGCGTGCCAGTCAGTTTGATTCTACAACTGATAAGACATGTAAACAACATATCAAAGAACCGATCGGCTGACAAGTCGATGGAGTAAATCCAGCAGATGTTGATAGGGTTTTGAGTAATTGGCTATATATATCCAATGTATATTCTGATGCTTGAATAAATATTGATATAAAGATAATCAGCTGATGATAATGTAATGAAATAATAATATAATCCAGTAGAAGTCAATCGGCTAATAGTGATATGATAGAATAAGCGTTGATCCGAAGGTTAAAGTATACATTGGCTGGAGGTCCAATGTCGTTAAATCCGAATGATTAGATAAACAATGAAACAGTTGTTGCGATCGGCTAAATCCAACTTATGTGTAATCCTTGCACCAATACGGCACCAAAGGTGCTTAACTAGGAAAACGAGAAAATGAAATTGACTGACATATAGTACATGTTTGAGACAGGAGACAACCCAATCTTTTAAAAAAATATGATCTGATCTCATTCTTTCTCTTCTTCTATTTTCTGCAGGGATCTGACATTATTCTCTTGATGGGAACTTTGTGAAAAACATATCACCATATATATACCGAGACATAAATTCACCTGGTAAAGATCGTAATTGAAATATTGATAAAAAAACACCATCAGCTTAACATGCCCATTAATTGAAATATTTGAGCGTCACTCAGCTTGTTGAATTACATTCTTCAAATATCTGATCGGATGATAATCAACCAATAAATGTACATGATATTTGCCACATCCTTCAACCACTAAAGAATGAGAAACTGTCCATAATTTATGACAAATCAACTACTCCATCCGTTTCATATTATGAGTCGTTTTGACTTTTTAAAAATTAAACTTTATAAAATTTGACCAAGTTTATTGAAAAGTATAGTAACACTTGTAGCACCAAATTAGTTTTATTACATCTAGCATTGAACATATTTTAATAGTTTTTGTTTTATGTTGAAAATATTGCTATACTTATAAACTTGTTTAAACTTAAAAAAGTTTGATTTAGAAAAAAATCAAAACGACTTACAATATAAAAAAAATAAAACGACTTATAATATAAAATGAAGGTAATATGTCAGTAACCAAATAGCTGAAACCTAGGAAAAATAAAAGAAAATGGAAACGATAGTAACAAGTTAGTCAAATATCTAAATATATGTGGTACATATACTGAATACGGACCATGGTGCAAACTTGAATTGAATATTCAATTCATACAGATATAAAATAAGCAAATATAAATTATCCCAAAATCGATCCCACATCTCTATAAACTATATATGTTTTTTTCTCCACCATATAGCTTGGTCTGCACAGCCCACTGCAAGACACATTTTCAGATCCTTTGCTTTATCAAAATTGACAAAGCCTCAGTCCGAATAAAACAATTATTTGCTTCTCTCCATAAATTTCAGGCTTACTTATAGCTGAAATAATTGGCATATCCATGGTCTCATCACCCTAAGAAGCGTGCAGAGCAGTTTCAGTAGCCTCGTGAGCTTGGGTTGCAGGATAGAAGAAAGGCTTTTTTATTATTTTTTTTGGAGAGGGTTTTTTTTACCCGTTCTCTATATCCAACCGGATATATGCAACCTTTTTTAAATTAGAAACTTAGCCTATCAAACAGGAAATTTAGCCCTCAAATAACATAATCTGAAATTCGATCCTATGGAGATTTGAACTCAGGACCTTGAGGTGCTACTCAGGTCACTGCAACTACTAGGATAGAAGAAATGCTTGAGTTATGAATTAATACTCCCGGAATGCTTGGAGAATGGCATTCCCAAGTCCCAACTTGATATATATAATCATGTGGCTTACTGGTAGTATGCTTCGGGCAGCCCATTGACGGATGAACCGATCTGAAGTAATTAATGTAGAATTATCATAATTTCCTCCAAGGTGATGTTGGGGAAGGACCGAAGGAGAAGCACATCATAGTGAAAGCACTGTGGCGCTACGCAGTGCCAGTACTCCTAGCCTTGTGGTGGCAGAGGTTTGTTTGGGCGGAGTTTTGGGGCAGCTGATGTTCTTCTCTAGGGTTTGGGGTGGCTGATGTTCTTCTCCGAGGTTGAGCGAGGAGCTACCGGTAGGTGGTAGTGGTGTGTTTGTCTCTTTTCCTGTTTATAACACTGACTCTCACTATTACAATCCTATAACTTTTTCCTGTTATATCAATATGGAATTTCGTACTGTCTTATGTGGGTCGTTTCAAATAAATAAAAACAAACTAAGATAAAGAAAAACCTCAAAGTTAAATAAAATTTCAGTTCTAAGATTTAAATTTTGGGCATAGGCACCTAGAAAAACAATTTTGCTATACATTTGTTAACAAGTTTTCTCCTATAAATTTGACAAATATAATTATAGTACAATTATAGTATAATTACGTTAACTTGCATGTAACTATAATTTAACTTGCACATAATTTTGAAACGTTAGATTTGTTTCACGATTCGCGTATGTGAGGAAGGAAAAAAATCACAACGCATGCGCATGTGAGAGGATTCACCGTTTCACGAAAATAACATTTGTTGTTGCGACTTTTAAAAATTAATTAAAGCCCTATTTGGCAGAGCTCCAGATCTCAGATTCACGGTAGATTTGATGGGCCTCATGTTTTTGCTTATGTTTATGCTTATTAGCCAAAATTTGAATTTTCAACTTTAAATTTAAATTTGATTTTGGGGTTTCTTTATTGAAGTTTATTTTTCAGCCTTTACTTTTTGATCGCTAATAACAGGTATATAAAAGTTTTATTCACAAATTATTTTTCGTTTGCAAATATGCCAAACGATAGAACCAAGATGTTTATATGTTAAATTATAGTAGGTTAAAATTGTAAATTTGATCCTAAAGAAAAACAAATTGATTTATTCAAATATTATATACGTAATCATAAATCCAGATCTATATATTTGTGGAGCTAGAAATACCCAACTCCATACAATTTTGGATCCGAAATTATGCCAAATACAGTATAACTAAATCACGATTATACTACGGAGAAAATTCCCCTGTGTACCCCTGAAAGTTCACCTAATCCCTTCTGTACCCCTAAATGTTGCTTAATCCCTTACATACACCTAAATTTTAGTTTGGATCCCTTTCATATGGAAAGGGCATGGAAGGGATCCAAACTAAAATTCAGGGGTATGTAAGAGATTGAGCAAAATTCAGAGGAATAGAAGGGATTAGGTGAACGAAATCGTGTATATATATGGTACCGGAAGAAAAATCTACCGAAACGAAAACCACACATCAAAGATCTCAACAAAACAAAAACAAGCAAACACCTGGCACCTTCTTCAGCCTTCACCCACCCAACCCACCCCCGCACGCGCACGCAGCCCACTCCACTCCCCCAGATCTGATCGCCTCTTCTCGCGACTCCCCCCCAATGCGCAGGGGCGGCCACGCCGAGGCGTTGCTGCTGCGGCGGCGGCGCGGGCCGGCGAGGCTGTGGGTCGCGGTGCTGGCGCTGCTCGCCGGCACCCTCTGGCTCTTCTCCTCCTCCTCCTCCGCTGGCCTCGGCCTCGGCCTCGCCCGCTCCTCCTACGGACTCCAGGTGCGTGTGCGCCGCCTCCTGCTTCCCTCTCTTGCGTGTGAACAGCAACAACACTCCTTCCAGTTGTGATGATTGTGCTGTTCGATCGATCTTGGGAATACCCTCAAATGGAGCGAGATTTGAGGATGGGGATATTCTCCGTGCTCTCTTCTGATTTTAGGCAGCCTCGCCTATTTTGGCACAACGCAAGAACAGCACTAGGATTTATGAGGGGATTAGTTACAACATACCTATTGATGAGGTGTGGAATTAATGCCCCTCCCCCTCAATCCCTTCCCTCTTGGGAGGGAAGTAATATATATGGGTGTACATTTCACTTGGAACATCCTCATGAGTGCGAACAAACCCTTTTATAGCTTTTTTTTCTTTTTGCGGTGTGAACTTGGCCAAGAGGTTATTATGGGTAATGGAACTGATAAGATTTTTTTTTTGGTAACATCGATAGCTTGCTTGCACGAAAACTGCCGTTAAGTAATTGTTTCGTTCTACAAGGAATGTGCTAGTTCATCTATTTTAGAGTAGGTTACCTTCGTGTATGATTTGTTGCACATTAAAGCCCCGAAGTTGTACAGATGAACATGATCAATAGAACTGCAAATGGTGATTTCTTACACTTGATTGATGTAGATGGTCTGCCTTCTGTTGTCCCTCATCACATCTGCATATGAATTTCTGTCCAATAGGACTTCTTTATATGGAAACCTTTTTTGGACTGTGGTGGTGTGGAAATGGTGATGATAGTGTTGTGACATTTACTTAGGACTACAAGAAAAGAAACAAGTGAGTGTGAACTGTTTCTGTTTCTCTCAGTATTGTGGTGGATAAAGACCAAAGTTCGGTCACCAAACCAATGTTGACAGATCTTGTGGCTGTGTGAAGTGTATGGGGGTAATGAAGGGGCTACCATAAAACTATTATCAGCATTTCCTCTTTCTGATCCCTTTTGGTGCTTCACTTAGCTGCAATTTCGAATGACATGACTGGGATAACATACTTGCATTTAAATAGTACAACAAAGTGTGATTTCACATTCATTGTGGAATTGCATAGCCAATTGGACAGTATTGTATGTCAAAATATTCTAATTGAAAGAAAAAGAGTATACTAAAAAAAGAAAATGAAAATTATATACCTATGACCATTCATTTTCTTAGTTGAGACCTGGCTGAAAAACTGATTGTGCTCCATACATGCATGAATTACAGTTGGAGATGATAAATGCATCTGTATAGTAGGTAGAATTGCACCTTTTCTATGAAAATAGTTAGTACACATATTAACAGCTCGTAATTTCAAGTGGAAAATTTGGCGAGATTTTATCTGAATAACAAATAATAGCTCTGAAAGGAAGTGACAATCTTTCCTAGAATTTTTATGCACACTATTTTTTAATTCCCATTTGGATTACCACATTACCAATGTAATGTATTTAAGTTTTACATTTCTTAGTTAGATTCCCAATTTAAAGTTCTCACACTGACATCAGTGCTATTACTCAAGGATGTTGATGTAAATAAGTTGTGGAGAACTGCAGATTCAAATGGTTGGAGGGCATCTTCTGCACCGCGCACCTATTGGCCTCGTATGTTTGTCTCCGTGACCTCCTTGGAAGTTATTAGTGATGTGTATAGTGGATCTGATGAATAGTCATATCTCTATTTGCAGCTCCACCAATAGAGTCTGAGTCAAATGGTTACTTACGTGTCCGGTGCAATGGTGGCTTGAACCAACAACGTAGTGCGGTATGATGAACACAAGAAAATCTCACTCTCATGCAAATTTCTTATTATTCTTGATATGAAATGAAGGAAATTAATATTGGTATCATCCTATTTTCATAGATATGTAATGCTGTTGTTGCTGCACGAATAATGAATGCTACACTAGTGCTGCCAGAGCTGGACACAAATTCTTTCTGGCATGATGAGAGGTATCTCTTTTGTTTATACTGGTCTTTGATAGGGCAAGGCTATTTTATGTCTAGCACTCTAGCTTAGAAGAAACCATGTGTCCTTTGTGAAGTCTGATGTCCTGCAAGCAAATTTATGTAGTAGATTCTACATAAATTTTATTACAAATAGCACAACTATTATATTCTATTGGTTCAACCGCATCTCAGTTGTGTTATTCCCACAACATATTTCTATTGTTGGCATTAGTTGATTATTACCTTTTTTTTTTTTTGCTTTTTTAATGCCTTATTTGTGATAAAGTCATATTCGGATATTGAAACCAATAATTTCCATGTAGCTGGTGCCATGTAGGTTAATGCCCTGGTAGTATTTTTGGTAAGCTAAATGATGATAACTAGCAACTTAGCATATATGACACTTACCATAATTAATAATGCTAAATATCTTCCTATGAATTGATTCGTGCAGTCGAATTTTTTTTTTTTTTTGTAAAATTTAGCACATTGTATCCGTGCCTGGACTTGCACAGTATCAAGTTCTTATCATTCTGAAAATGTTAGGATCTGCTTTTCTTAAAGAAAATTAATATCTACATCAGGCAGATTTATGTAACCAGTATACTGCCTTGTGTTCTCAAAGTATGTTTGATAGAAACTTGTCCCGTTTTAGGAAGGATTGCATTGTTGAGTGTTGGTCTGTTGGATGTTTTCTGCAGAGGTGTTACCATATTACAGAACTTGTAGAGCAACATGTGGCACATTTGTTTGTGATTTCATACAGCTCCTATCATAGCTACTGCACTGATGCCATGTCAAACATGTGATCATAGCAAGACCATCATAGCTGCATTTCTTACAAGTTATTTTTTTCCTAAACACATGAGATCCATGCGGACATTTGCTTTCATTATGCTTCTTTTATGTGTTTTCAGAATGCATTATTTCTTAACTTGTTTATGTTGAATGATGTATTAATGACTGATTCTTGGTTAATGTTCGCTTATTATTGCATTTATATATGCACCCAGTGGTTTTTTAGGTATTTATGATGTGCTCCACTTCATCAAGACATTAAAGTATGATGTTCGAATTGCTATGGTCATTCCAGAAATTACTACAAATGGAAAGACCAAGAAGCTGAAAGCCCATCAGGTGAATAGATGATGAACTCCCTAGTTTGAGTTGTACAAAATCAGTTTGTATAGAGATATAGTGCACTATAAAATACCTTTTTCCTTACAGATTCGACCGCCTCGAGATGCACCAGTTACGTGGTATACAACAGTTGCTTTGGAGAAGATGAAGAAGTATGGAGCTATATATTTAACCCCATTTTCACACCGCCTGGCAGAAGACATTGATGATCCAGAGCTCCAGAGATTGAGATGCAGGGTGAATTACCATGCACTACGATTCAAGCCTCACATAATGAAAACAAGCAGTGAGATAGTCAATAAGCTCCGTACAGAAGGCCATTTCATGTCAATTCACCTTCGATTTGAGATGGATATGCTTGCATTTGCTGGGTAAGTGGGTATTTACATTGGCTGAGGTATTGTGTGTTCTTGCATGAGTGCTGAATAAATCGTCCTACTTCATTTAAGCCTAGAAGTGTCACTTTGAGGTTCAGTTAGCATTGTATAAGCTTGCTATAATGCCTGACTTAGCAGAGGTCTTCATAAGAACTAATTAGAGTTTCGCTTGAAAATCTTAGTCATTTGCAGTCCTTGATACTCATGCTAAGTTCATTTAATTCAAACAAAACCCATTATTCATGTGCAATTTAGTTCATTTATCTTCTCAGATTGATAGCTGATTGTCTATTTTCACTACTATCAGTATCTTACGCATGAAAGTTTAAGTCATGCACTTGTCACATATTGCATATTGTTGTTGTGCATTATTGGGCATACCACCTTCCTTATTTCCAAAATGAAAATTACAGGTGCATTGATATATTCACACCTCAAGAACAGAAAATTCTGATCAAGTACCGCAAGGAACATTTTGCAGAAAAGGAACTTATTTATAGGGAAAGAAGGCTCATCGGGAAGTGCCCTTTAACTCCAGAAGAGGTACTGAACCTTTTTCTAGATATATATATTTTTTGGATAATTTCAATTATATTATTTATTCAGTTATGTATCCAAATTAGTGATGATTTGCTTACTGTGTGGTATCAAACCTTTTTATTTTTGTTTACATTCCACGATTTAAACCATGTCTAATACTTGACTTGAATTCTTAAGTTCCATCCTTCCACTAAAACAGGATCTGGAATCTGTATTCTTTATCATGTTTCTTGATTTTCGTTCTGTTGAATGTTGATGTTAGCTGTAGTTAATTTGTAGTTCTGCCTTAAATGCCATATATGATAAGTTGAAGCAGATGCAAAGAAATTTTGTTTCTTTAGTAAAGCTGGAAAATTGTAGAAAGGAAGTGCAAAACATACCACTTGACATTTTTTTCCATTAAAGAACACTTTTTGTAAACAACCGACGCAATATCATGTTCTACATTATTAATGTGCAGGTAGGTCTTATTCTTCGATCCATGGGATTTGACAATAAAACAAGAATCTACCTTGCTTCTGGCGATCTCTTTGGTGGGAAACGATTCATGAAGCCATTTAAGGCTATGTTTCCACGCTTAGAAAACCACAGCACTGTTGGTCCTGGAAAGCTGGAAGAAAATACAAGAGGGCTCGCGGGTTCTGCAGTGGATTACATGGTCTGTCTCCTGTCAGACATTTTTATTCCTACATATGATGGCCCGAGCAACTTTGCAAACAACCTAATGGGCCACCGCCTATACTATGGTTTCCGGACAACAATCACACCAAACAGGAAGGCCCTAGCTCCCATATTCATGGACAGGGAGGAAGGTCGCGCCGCTCGCTTTGAGGAGCGAGTCAGGCAGGTTATGTTCAACACATATTTTGGTGGCCCCCACAAGCGTGTCCATCCAGAATCTTTCTACACAAACTCATGGCCTGAGTGCTTCTGCCAACCGAATCCAAGGAACCGTGCAGACAAATGCCCTCCGGACAACATATATGAGGTTCTGGAGAGCCAATTTCAGAGTGTAGAGGGTGAAGAAGATATCGAAGAAGTGAAATCCACTAATCAGACTGACTCAACGAGCCAAATAGAAGAATTAGTGGTCTAATTGAGTTGGCTAACTGCGATTGTATGAGAACACCATGTTGGATCATTCATTGACCACCGCATACTGGTGGTATGGCATTTTCAGTTGAAAGGATGAATCTGATGGTGTAATGCTGAGTGTTGAAAGCTTGGTCACCACAGGCAAGACACGATTCTGTCTAACTGGAACTGTTAAGAGAGGCTAGAATTAGGAGAGCAGTGAACCACATTTTGGCTAGATTGGTCAACTAGGAATTTCAGAGGGAAAACCATACACGTTCTGTCTATATTAGCTATTCATTTGTTAAAGATTTGAGTGCGGCATGTGGTGTGTAAGTATGATGAGGCTACATTGACTGGAATCCTTAATACAGGATATATTGCCTTTATACGGGATATATATTGCAGCTGAAATGTTATACTGTTGCACGAATTTCCTTTTTCTTGCCTTTCTACTGATTTTGTTGCTGGACTGCATTCTTTGATATTGTCAAGTGATGGAGGAGACCAATGATTGGTCGGCATACTGTATTTCGCTCGTTGTTTCCGTACGGTGACTTTTCATGCGCGTTTGGTTACAGGAAAATGAGAATGGATACAAACTGTAATACTTATTGGGGAGTATAACATTCCAAGATAATGCTCGTTTCTTCCATTTCCTACGATCTACTTTCTCGATTTTTTTATGCACACGCTTTGGAGCTGCCAAATGATTCGTTTTTGGTAAAAGGAAAATTCTATAGAAATGTTATTTGAAAGAAATGATATTAGTTCTTTTTAAAAATTGTTTTAGCTAATACTTAATTAGTCGTGAGCTAATGACTTTGTTTTGCATGTGCAGGGGAGAAAGATTCTAGCCATTCCAAACGAACGCATTCCTAAAAGGAATTTTAAGGGCATGTTTAAAGCTATAACCAGTATGAGCTCTAATATAATACTCCTACAAGTTTATTCTAATTCTACACCCTTACAATAGTGAGATAACAAAGGCTCTAACACTAACTTGAAAAATATATTTTTATTACTATTCTTTTTTTTTTCACCTTCGTACAACAAAGTTTTTATTTATAAAAACTAAGAGTCATTGTTAAGTTGTTGACCAAAGCAACAATGTTTTATCTCTATTCTATACTAGCAAATATTCGTAACCAGCAAGCGTAAAAGCCATTATTAATTACCATTGTGCAAGCTATTTATTCCTGAAATCTTATTACAACCCGTAATCATGCAATCCTAACTGTTTTTCTTAAAATAAAAATGAGATCATTCTTGACTGCTCAATTTTAAATCTCAAACCACAAAGGCTGTGTTTTTAGGTGAGTGTTGAGAGCCCTCACATCCAGACATAGAAAATGGAGAAATTGATTAATACGTGATTAATTAATTATTAGCTAAAAAAACTTTAAAAATTGATTAATATGATATTTTAAAGCAAATTTTCTATAGAAAATTTTTCACAAAACATATATCGTTTAGCAGTTTAAAAAGCGTGCGCGCAGTAAATGAGAAAGTGAGGTTGGGAACACAGCCAAAATCTGGAACCCATTGCCCTGCACTAAATGCCAAAACCGAATGCTCCATGGCAAAAACGGTTTCACGAAATATAATGGGTTTGCAATTTCGGGGCTGCGTTCTTTTCAGGCTAGTAGGATTAGATTTTCCTCGTTTTCCGTTAGCACGCTTTTTAAACTACTAAACGGTGCACTTTTCTGCAAAAAGTTTCTATACGAAAGTTGCTTAAAAAAATCATATTAGTCCATTTTTGAAAAAAAATCAGCAGATACTTAATTAATCATGTGCTAATGGATCGCTCCGTTTTCCGTGAACGTGGGGAGAATCTGAAAAGAACGCCGAAAATCGGTGTGGGCCCCGGCAGCCAGTGACCTGCGATCGAATATTTCGGTCAAAACCGCTGTTTTAAACGGTCGAAATCCCTAATAATCTCCCGTCCCCTTTCCTCTCTCTCCCTCACCAATCGCGATTTCTCGTCTCCGCGCAGCAGCAATCGCATTCGAATCGAGGGCTCCCCACGGCGGCGGCGGCGGCGGCGCGAGGTCTCGATGTCGGCGGGGAATGGAGTCGCCGCCGGTAAGGATAGGTGGGCAAGCCGAGCAGCTACGGGTAAGGTAAGCTCAAATGCAGCAAAATCTATTCAAATTTATTAGTAATTTGTTTGAATCTTTCGTTCGAAATTCCCGAGAGCATTCTAGATATTTCTGAAATTTATTTTTTATCATTAATAGGATTTCCGAAATTTCTGAAGTTCGATGAGATGACCTCCGACATCATTTTTTTTTATTTTTGTGCTATACCGAAGTAGTGAACCCTAAATTTCGAAGTGTTTGGCAATTAGAAGCGTGATGAGTAATAATACTCTAGTCAGTAGTCACGCAAGAAGCGATTTACAACCCCAGAAATATTACTACTCATAATGTAATACCAATAATCACTAAATGAAAATCTACTACAAGTCAAAGAACACACATTCTCTAATAAGAACACATCGTTCAGAAAACAATTCATTCTTAATCAAAAGAAACATAAGGCACATGGGATATGTTGTCCCATTCAGGACCATATTCGCCATACTTCTCCTTCAGAATGGGGCAACCACTGATGCGCAGTTCAGTCAGATTATTAGGCAGGCAAGGCAAGAATTGCATGTTAGGACAGTTGATCAATTGGAGGCTCTCAAGAACTAGGACCCGGTCCATATTCCATGGCAGCGATTTGATGCTGTTGCAGTTGATCAACTGCAGCTGCTCCAGTGTATCCGGCAAATGGTCAGATTCCAGCAATACATCGAGTGAGTTCAGTTCTTCGCTGTCTTTGATGATCAGGATTCTGAGAGCCCGGAGGCCAAGCAGAAATGGATCCATATGCGTTGCGACGCTGTCGATATGCAGAGTGTGGAGTGATTTCATCGCATTGCCATTATGCAGTTTCAGAGAACTGTGGCATTTCTCAATGTACAGCTTCTCAACAAAGGCGAATGCACCTTGAATGGACTTCAGTTTCTTGCAGTCTGCAGCGAGCAGATGATGATGGCCATAATTAGCAGATTTCAAGGGAGAGCATAGTGTTAGTTTACGAGAAATGTGTGCAGTTACTATTTCAGAAGTAAAAATGATAAGCCGTCGTATAAAAAAGAGTAGAAGGGGTGCACTTCGTACCAGTTATTTCTAGCTGAAGTAGAGGCCCAAAGCCGTGGCTAGAACTAGAATTGTCTGCTGTAATTGTGAAAGTTGATAGGTTGGGGCAATGTCGCAGGATGAACACCCTAGATGGCTGCAATGCTCTAGCTTCAACTCTATTGGGACATCGATTAGGAACATCCAGAAATGCACCAAAAGGAACAACTGATCCCATCCTAGAAGAATTAAAGGATATCAATGGCAACCCCTCTATATGCATCCTGTTAACTCTAGCATGGTGAAGAGGAGGCAAAACAGCGAGTTTCGGGCAGTTCCTTACTGTAAGTTCCTCAAGGCAGGGGAAGCATGGTTGTTGCTCTGTCCATTCTTCTAGTACTGTCATATCCTCAATGCGAAGTTTAACCAATCTTGGGAAGCGACAGGATGTCTCTGCTGGAAACCCTAAAAATCTGAAAGGATATTTGAAGTAACTTGTCCGATCAGATTCTTCAGATTCTGATATTCTCTCCAACATAGAAAATCTCTCTAAAATCAGCTCTTCCAAACTAGGAAACTTGGCCAGAGGGGCAATCACACTGACAAACGAACAATTCCTCAGTGTGACTTTCTTCACATTTATCAGATGATCTTCGGTAAACCAGGTGGGAAATACGAAGCCTGGGTACCCATTGATTTCCAGTTCATTGAGAGAGTTCGGTGGTTGGAGCTGTTCAAGAACTACTGTGCTCATCGATTGCGAGGTTTCCTCTGCGGAATGCCATTCTAGTCTCAGAGAAACAAGACAAGTCTTCAAGCTTAAGTTAACCTCGCCTGCTTTTGTTGCACTTATTACGTTCTCGAGGTTTGTAATAGAGAGTGACTTTCTCAGATTCATATCTTGTAGCTCCTCTATACCATGCCCAGGTCGCTTACCAACTCTGAACTCTTGTAGCTCTTGAAGATTCTTGAGATTCCCGATATGATGTATTGATGAAACCAGGGAAGCAGGTCCAATGATATGCCTTACTCTCAATAATTTTTGTGAAGTATGATCTGGCAAACTTCTTAGTTGACAACCTCGGATGTTAAAAACCAGGAGATGGTAAAATTTGTCAAAATTTTCCAGTGTTCCAATACCGGTATCTTGGAGGCTCAAATAGCGAAGATGATGTCTCGACTCATTGGACAGTTCAGGCAGCTTCTGCATACCACATCCAGTTAAATCAAGTGCTCTTATATACTTCTGGCTTCTAAGAATTTCATCAAGAATGTCCTCTGTGCTGGGTTCAGTATGTTCAGATGGACCAAACACAATTAGAGTGCGCAGATGCAGCTCAGTGATTCGCCATCTGAACTTCCGTAAGGTGGGAAGAAAACCACTCGTAACTGACATATGGGTCATAAGTCGTGAACTTGCTGGCAGATAATTGCTCTCAACTCTACGGAACCATTTTGCAGAGACAACTTCTGCCAAACGGTGAACAGAACGATGCATAACATAGCATGTTGGAGATTGTCTGCAATGCAGATTTAATAGTTCAAGAAAGCCTCTTGAGTACAAGCAGTCAAAATATCTCCTCCCTACATCTTCCGTGATTCCTTCCGACATCCAAATGTGAATTAAACTTTGATCTGTGAACCTCCAGGTTTTAGGGTATAAGCTACAATAACTGAAACACAGGCCTACAGGTGCAGGCAATTGATCATAACACAGTTTGAGGAGTGAGAGAAGTTGGACGTGATCATCTGCTTCTTTTCTGTCTATTACTATTTGGATTATGTTTTGGTAAACACTTCTCCAAAATTTCTTCGTAGGGTTATTTTTTAACATGCATCCAATCATTTTCATGGCTATAGGAAACCGCCTCAACAGAGTACTCATTTGTATGCCAAGTTCCACTTGATAACCATCTATGTTAAAGCTGTCAAAGGCAAAGTTTCTGAAAAAGCGCCAAGATACATTGTTCTCAACTTCATCACTCTGCAGGATATTTACATTTCTCACTGATTTTTCCACATTTGCACTTCTTGTTGAAACAATAATTTTGCTGCCTTTGCTGCCAGACTTGATTGCTCTGAACAAATACTCCCATTGGGCCATTTGATCTTCAGAGATACCATGCAAAATTAACAGAAACTTCTTTCCAGCCAAACCACACTGAATAACCTCCTCAAGATCCTTCATCTTTTGGTCATGTGCCTTTCGACTACCACCACAAACAGAAAATAGATTTTCTATCCAGTTTATAAATTCATGGCTGTGCACAGGAGGCAAATGATTGTCTGAGTTGATTACATGGGCATTCATTAGTTCATTTATACAGCTCGTAACTGAAACTTTAGAGGAAATCATTGTGGATCCGCCAGAAAGGTTAACCAGCATTCTCGCGTCAAAATGTTGTTTCACCCTTGCATTATTATATATATTCTGTATTGGGACAACAAAATCTTCAGCCTCATTAGAAAGAAGAAACGGCACTAAATATATACCATCTTGTCCTTTCTCCACAAGCTGCATCTCTATTGTTTCTTCCATTCCTGACTGGTTTTGCATCTCCACAGATGGACTGGCAGTGGCAAGTTGGCTTCTGATGTTATCCAGATTAGGCATAATGGGTGCTGTCAAGCCACCTGGCCTCTGAAGAACAGAGGTTGCCCTTTTCAGATTCATGCTCACAAGGTATTCCTCAAATGTTGTTGATAAAACTGGTAAAATGGATTGCAGCAAGTGTTTCAAGTGGTTGAATATTCTTATCGAAGTGTTCTCATCCTTCTTAACCTGATGGTATTCAAGCATGTCCAAGTTCCTTTCTATGCCCATGGCAATCATCAATAAATTGCCGTCTTGCTGCTCCAAGATTGGTTGATAACAGAATATAGGACCTGCAACCTGTGTTTCCATGCTGGAAAGAACATCCTGTACTGTATGCAGACATGTCACTAGATCCTCTATCACCGTGTCAACGGATGGGGATGAATTTATCATGGAGCCGTCTCCTGATGATCCAGATGTCGTCGTCCTCTCTGCACGCCTCACTGATGGTGAAAGTAATTCCTCATCAAACTTAAAATATCTCTTTGACAGCGGCTTAATGTCCTCACTTTTACACATGAAATTTGTGACGGGAATTTGCCGATAAATGGATGCTCCTGTTACTAGATGTTGGATGATTGAATGCTCCACGCTACTTGGGGGTACTCTCATTGGCTTGTCTTTCTCAAGACAACTTGGATCATTCTGCAAAGTTGTAAGTATTAGCAATGCTGCCCTGTCAAGTATGGCCCTCAATATCCAAAAGAAACCAAAGCCAGCCCTAATATCCTGTCCAACGCTGTCATTTCTCCTACTTGTCTCTGTCCCTTCGGAGTCCATTGTGACCAAGGATAAGCTACTTGCTAATCTTGTGTTGCAAAAAAATATAATTGCTTTATTACCTGTTGAGAGAAAAATAAAACATTCAAATGAAGTGTATGGAATGTATAATGGTGATGCTCTGTGGTGACGACATTTTAGCCCTGCTGCAACCTAGTATCATGCTTTGGTGGCCAACTATCCTGGGAAAATATGTAGTGCAAACCACATATGTAGTGAAAACTTAAAAACTATTATTGGATCGAAAAATGAACATCCAAGATTCGTCCATATCACTATGAGTACTCATGAGTAACCTGTGAGTAAAATTTTTACTTCTAATGACGTGAACAAATCTCAAACGTCTATTTTTCGATCCAACAGTAGTTTTCAGGTTTCTTTCCCAACTATCCAACCTTGAGGATATTTTAGTATCATACACTCAAGTATCCAATTGATTTCGATACTTAAAAAATAGAGAGAATTCCTTATATGCCACTGAAAATTGGTCAGCTCCCTTATATGCCATTCAAAATTGACTCCTCCCTTCTATGCCACTGGATTAAGTTTGTCCTCCCTTCTATGCCACTACCGTCACTCTACCGTTGGTTGACAGTTAACTTCACAGCAGAAAGACGTATTTGCCCTTCAATTTTTCACTGGTTCTAAAAAAAATTGTTCACTCAAAAAGGATTTACTTTTTTGCTTAATTTCCTCCCTGGCCGGGCCCACTCGTCAGCAGCCCAGAACCGATGAGGCACGGGAAAGCTTCGCCACCGGTGCTTCTCGTCGGCGCCGGCGACGAACGGCGACCGGCTCGGTTTGGTCCCAAAAGAGAAAACACAGAGGGGAAAAATGCACTCCGGTGGTGGTGTTGTCGCCGGATATGGCTAGAGGCTCGCGGGTGACTTCGATTTGCGGCAGCTGTAGTTAGAATCGTGTGAGGCGGAGCTCAGCCAGAGCTGGGAAAGATGACGCCGATCTCCCACCACGCTGCATGGATCTTGGGGCTATTTAGGGGGTTTTGGACCTCAAAGGCAGTTGAATGTGTTGGCGAGGAAGCTCGACTCGAGATGGTCCATGGCGGCCGGAACACGAGCTCGACGCCACGGCCGCGCACTGGGTGTGCCCTCGAGCTCCCACGGCGCGTTGGCGTTCCCAGCACTACAGCGACCGAGCGCTGCTCCTCCCGTCGCGACCGGGCGCCACCCCTCCCACCACGAATGGGAGACACCGCCCTCGCCTCGTGGCCTCCTGCCCTGGATGCCGCCGTCGTCGCCTGCCTGCTACACGCCACCCTTCCCGCCGCGACCGGGCGTCGCCCTTGCTGCAGCGGCCGGGCGCTGCTCCTCCCGTCGCTATAGGGCATCGCCCCTCCCAGCACGAATGGGCGCCACCGCCCTCGCTTGCCTGCTCCGGGCGCCGCCCCCTCGCCTGCCTTCTCCAGACGCCACCACGATCGCACGCCGCTGCCCACGCCTGCCTGCATGTCCGAGCTGATGCTTTGTTGTTGGTTTTGGCCAAAGGTTATTTTGGTCATTTATGCAAAAAAACTGACATGTGTAGAAGCTAACCAACGGTGGAGTGGCGGTAGTGGCATGAAAGGGAGGGCAAACTTAATCCAGTGGCATAGAAAGGATGAGCCAATTTCGAATGGTATATATGGGACCAGACCAATTTTAAGTGGTATATAAGGAATTCTCTCTAAAAAAAATACCCAATATAGATTTGGTAGCTTCTAATACTAAAGGTATCGAGAGCTACCAAATTTTACATAAATAATGTAGTACCTCCCAATACCAAGACCATAAAATCACTCTTACATGACATCCATTTGTTTAGGACTCTGAAAAATGACCTGGATGACGAGCAGGCTGGGAGGCGATGTGGGCCCTGTCACCCTAAGATCAGTGACAAGGTAATCCCTCCGTACTCGTATAGGTAAAGGAAGTCGTTTAGGACAATGTTTAAGTCAAACCTTTGGAATATAAATCATGAATAACTCTCAAGTTGTTGAGTTTGAAAATATAAAAATTATATGAATAGATTTGTCTTGAAAAATACTTTTATAAAAGTATACATATATCACTTTTCAATAAATATTTTTATAGAAACAAGAAGTCAAAGTTGTGTTTTGGAGACCGTGTCGCTGTCCAAAACGACTTACTTTACGAGTACGGAGGGAGTACTTTATCTTGCCAATTTATAGCTTCGCACAAAGTTAGATGGTGTTAGAAACTGATGAAGATGAAGAATAAGTTAGCGCACATAAAACGAGAAAGCCATTAGCACATTATTAATTAAGTTTTAATTATTACAAACTTGACAAATGGATATATTTGATATTTTAAAGCAACTTCTAAGTTTTCCCACACACCGATTAGTAGTTTGAAAAACATGCTAACGAAAATCGAGATAAAATCTAAATCTTAATCAGAAAAGATCAGAGCTATGTCTTCGATGAAAGCTAGTAAAAAAACCATGAAATTTTGAGGTATCAACGTGGGACAAGATTCCAAGTGAAACTCCGATCAAAAACCTGCGCGTATAGTCTATCTCGAACTAGATCCCCCCTCCTCTCCCACCCTTAATTTGCTGTCATATTTTGGAAAAAAATGGACCAATCAATGTATCATTCATCTCAAGGATGAGGGTGTAGGTCCCATCCTCCTCCCATGCCCTCTATTTTGTTTTGATGTCCGATAAAGTGGAAAAATTGCCAAAGTGACATTTTTTTATTTATTTCCTGTAATTTGTTTTTATTTTTAAGGAGTGAGACTTGAATATGCGATGAGAGTGTGGGAGGTCAGTGAAAAGGAAACTAGAACTGAGGCTTGGCGCCAAGGACTCTAACATCGAGTTTTGAGTCTATTTGTACAATAAGTTTTTCTAGGGGTCTATATGTAAAAAAGGTTTTGAAAATGGCTTAGAATATAAAAAATCTAGTGAGAACCCTAGCTAATAAGGACAACGCCAAGGAAGCCAGGGTGGGTGTCAAGAGTGCTTGTGAGCTGAATTTGTGGATGATTTCCACATTTACATCACCAGTCTCCCTCATAGCTTTGAGCTCTCTCGGTGATAGGATTAATTGAACATGGGAAGGTCGTGTTGCCTTGTTACGAACAGGTAGCAATCTGATGTTGTAATTGTGTGAACTCTTCTCTCATTCTTGTCTTATAAAAGGGGCGCTTTAATTTCAGTGAGGCCTTATGGAACACTTGGGGACCTCAAGTGAAATTTATGAATTTTCCCTATATTTCCTTTTTTTTTTCAACAATTGTTCTAGATTTTTCCTTATAAAAAAGAATATAATGCCATTTTCTCTGCAAAGAAAACCATTCCCTTCCTTTTTTTTTCCTTAGGTCGTTTGGCCTTATGTTTTTCCCTTCCTTGGCATAAGTCGGTCTGACTGATTGTGTCGTGTAACAAACATTCTTTTCTTCTAATACATTAACGTGCAATTCTTTTGCGCGTTCAAGAAAAAAAAAGCAAGGAAAACCATTCATATTGAAGTCACTACAGCTTAGTGCCATATGTAGTCAATATCACTGAAACAATATCCATGAAGCAGGAAGACAATATATCAAGCAATGATATAACTACAAAAGATCTACTACATAACTAAAACATAGAAGGCATTTGGGGTGGTAGAGATAACTTCTTTACCTGGTGCAGTAGAGTGCTTCAGTTGAAGAAACTCTGAACAAAAGAATCTTGTTATCTTCTTGGTGGTCGACTTTACAAGGTTGGAACTTCAGTGGAGCGCAGAAGGAAGCATGTGTGAGAGTTTGTCAAATGTTACCAAGAGGTTACTAAATTCTATCAGTACCTCTGTTATATTAATCTCTCCATCATTCGCACACAGATCGAGTTCAAGAATGTTGTCAGCTGCTTAAATGTCTGCAGCTGGGTCAGCAAATGTTTTAAGCAAGACAACTCATTTTTATCAGTGAAAATCAAAGCTAACAGCTGACGGCTTGACAGAATTCTTCCTATCCTTGTGCAGTACCAAGAATACAATCTTTATGTATACTTTGCTTGGGACTTAGGAGCAAACATGACTGTGACATTTAGTTTTTACTATAAGTAGCTTCGTCCCCGACGTTTACAATGGGCATGAAAAATATATAAACAATTGATTCTAAGTTTAAAAATGATTATACTATACTAAAAAATTGCATATACATACAATCATGTATCTCCATCTGACAACTACACGACATACATGGTAAAATAATATGTGGGGTTTCCTATTTGGCGCATATGCACTATCAAGCGAAGTAGTGATCCAATCTTCTTTCTCTTCCCTCGTTAAAAAACATTTAACTCGGATTTAAAAACATTAAGTCAAGATTTAAAAATTTTCAAGTGAAGATTTTAAACTTTTTAACTCAAGATTAGAAATTTTCAACTCAGATTTGAAAACTTTTAACTTGGATTTGAAAGCATTCAACTCAATTTGGAAAAAATTTAAGTCAAGATTTGAAAACTTTCATCTCAAATTTCAAAACATTCAACTCAAATTTGCAAAATTTCATCTTAAAATTCAAAACAGTCAACTGAAATTGAAGGTGAAAGATTTAATTTCTAAAATACAATGAAAAAAGTTCCAAAAAAAAAAAATTGCGCGCGTGTCGGGGCGCAGACACGCCAACCATCACGGGCGTGCACGCCAGCAACAGAGCTAGCACGTCTGCACCAATTAGGTTTTTTTTATAATATTTAATGCACATGTCACTATAGATCATTTATCAACTCCTTTTAGTAGACATACTACCTCCGTCCCAAAATAAACGCAGTGATGAGTTTCCGTGTCCAACTTTGATCGTCCGTTTTATTTAATTTTTTTTGAAAAAACTAAAAAATATAAGTCACACATAAAATACTATTTATACTTTATAATCTAATAACAATAAAAATACTAATCATAAAAAATTTCAAATAAGACGAACGATCAAAGTTAGACACGTAAACTCATTGGCTGCGCTTATTTTGAGACGGATGGAGTACTAATTAAGTCATTATTCGCTAACATGTGTACTCAAATACTCACATTGGATATTTATAATCTATGCAGATAACTCCATTGGTATGGAACATATGACAGTATATTTTGTTTGTCGGTTTGCATTTATTTTCTTACTTGGTAGTGAATGGATTTTTTTTCGATTACACAAGAGAGAGACACAACTGCACACACCACACTAATACATCGGTGAGTATGACTCCTAACATAAACTACTAAAAGGGACGGAAACCACTGGTAAATCCTTAGCCCCACTAAATTTCTACTAAAAACATACTCATGTGCGTAATATAATATGTATGGACAATAGGATTTATTCTTGCTGGGTGGAACGCCACCACCATATATCATCTCCTCTTATGGATTGAAATTCAAGTAAAAACAAAACATTATTTTCTAATTCTGGTATCTTTTCATGAGCTTTTAAATGTTGTGATTTTTGCAAAACCTTTATACACATGAATTTCTTAGATACCATTTTAAATCAGTTTTTTCAACTTTATAATAGTTAATTACCTCAAAGCATTTAGCTATTCAGCTATTTTGTATTAATTCCATTCCATTCAACGTAGAAAAACACTCTCGTAGCTAATCGTTTTTGTGAGAGGAAGAGAGCACAGTGCAAAATCCAGGTAGCATTGCATTCATGTTGGCAAAATCGTCATCAAAACAGTTTTAGCAGTCGCTACAAGGAACTGAGAGGGAAGGGGCAGGGGTAGTGCCTTGGTTTTGCATGTTCTATGGGTAAGGGCAAACGGTGTGTAGTTCAGGGTGAAATTCGAGCGTGGCGTCTGACAACAGACATGTTAAAAGAATATAGCCATCCTCTTCTAAGACAACTTTACATGGGAACGTATCTTATGCACGTAAACTTTCCAGGTACACACCGTGCACATTAACTAACAAAATTTACCAAAAAAATCTAAAAAAAAATTATACATGTACTTCTAATAGCATTACACTTATTATATATAAATTCTTAACCTCAAATTCATTATATGTTAGCGATGTAAATAAGATAAAAATTTCTAATAGTTTTAAGGGTATAAATCTTTCAGAATTTTATCTTTTTTATGCTACATATATAGAATGAATTTGAAAATAGGACTTTACACATACTACTAAAAGTGCATGTACATTTTTTTTCTAAAATGTTTTGTGAAGTTTATTAGTTGATGTACACGATGTGTATACGAGAAGACTTGTTTGCATAGAACATGCTCCTATATTACACTATAATAGAAGGCATAAATGTGTTCAGTTTGTGTCATTTTGAATTATAATATTGAAGCAAGTAGTGGGGGGCGTACTAACATGGAACGAAACCTACGATAGAAACTGCTGGCCTTCATCACACATCCATAGATCTATATAGCTCTCCGAGACTACAGATTCTGAAATCAGAAGTAACGCTGATATGTTTATGAGCATGCAGCCCTCCCTCATCGGCCGCTCAAGTTCTTTGTTTTGACTTGCCCTGTTGACTTGAAGGTAATAAGGGAAACTTTAATTATCTATATTTTGTTGATGGGGCATGCTTAAACTCAGCAAGTTCTGATCTCTTTCTGATGTGACTGAGCTCTTGTATCATGGAGTTTTTGATCTCTCCCTTGCACACAAGCTTGCTGGATTTGTCACAAAGTTGAAAAGTCTCTTTTAGTAATATAGATTTCATGTCTAACTTGCAGGACCAGAAGGCCGGTTCATCTCAGGGTCCACACAAAATCCTCAATATGACGTATGTGAACCATATATGATTTAGCTGCAATGAATTGTTCAATGATGCAACCTGTTTTGGTTTAAGTACCAGATTAGCTACAGAAATTCCCTAGAACTTTGAGCAAACAGTACATGGGGTACTCCAACCATCCCTTTAAATTTCAAACTCAATTTAGAACCAGGTTAAGAAGATTCTGTAGCAAACATTACTCTTTATCTCAATATATTTTATGAGTAAATTTCACAAAAATATAGGTACTTTGTTCAAATTATCACAAAACTACATATTTATGGTGTTGTATCCCAAAACTATAGGTTTAACACAAAACTACATATTGAAAACAAAGTATCACAAAACTATAGATTTAATATCACTACTGTTATATTAGAGTTATAAATATCATAGTTTTGTACTTAACATGGTGCAAAACAAGTAGTTTTGTGATAATTTTATTACTAATCTATAGTTTGGTGATCTTCCATCTTAAATAGGTAGCAAGAAGCCACTAAAGCTTAGAATCAAAACGTAAAGAATGCATAAAGATCCTCGACGAACCAGATATGAACAAGCCACAGTGAAACAGGAGATCAAACAGAGGTTATGGACAGCCAAGATACAACCTGAATAGATCACATAAACCACATAAGCAATTGAGACCAAAAAAAAAAAGAAGAAATTTCTAGAGAGATCTCAATAACTCGAAATCTGAATAAAAGGATCATTATATTGGAAGAATCGTACCAAGATTAACTTGTTTGGACCTTTTTCCAAGAACAAGCCACTCGAATCATAAGAATTACTTACTCTCCTATGATTGTTGCAGCACAAGAACTGAGACAAATACAAACTTGTTTACACTTGGACTACATGGATGAGATTATGTTCCTTATTTAAAGAACTGAGATTTTGGCACTTGATGGCTCTCCTATTTTCTGTTATTGGCACAACAAAAGGAGCAAAGAAAAGTAAGGAAAAAAATCAAGTTCAATCTTGAACCAAAGAGAAACTTGCACAAGATGTAAACTCTAGGAAATAATGTTTGTCAGATAAAGACAGACATTCTAGTCAAACTTTGACTTTATTTATTTTTAAGATCAGCTATGAACTTAATGTGCAGTATTATTTAGCGAAACAACATTAGAAAATTACTAGCATGAAGTTGTCTTCCCCGTCATAGCTAACTACTCCCAGGTCTCCAATGCAAACTCTTTATTCAGTTCCTTCCTCACATTATTAACATATTCTTTTATAAACGTAGACACATCAATTCCTAAGGACCTCCATGAAACTCTTATCTGACATTATTCATTGCTCCAGGCCTGTGGAGACAGCGGCCATTGCTGGCGTAACCAAATCTGGAATAGATATGGCTCAGGGACCCGTGAAGAGTATGGGCAGCTATCTATGGGCCAGGGTAACCCACTTAGTAAAATGTGAGGCTGAAGTCGACAAGATGAAGGTGAAGGTAGATTCACTGCTTCGAGATAAGACAGACATGGAGACCATCATTGAGCATGCAAATTATGAATGCAGAGTAGCATCCGAAGCCACAAAACAATGGATATTAGATGTTGAAGAAATAGCAACTCAAGCTAAAGATTTGGTTGTTGAATGCAAGGGTAAAAATCCAGCCAGGCATGATCTGCATGATGCAGATGCCACACAAAAAGCTAGAAAGAAAATAGAGGTCATGAACCCAATTCGCCGACTGCAGATTGGCGCATTAGCCATAAAACTACTAGCTCGAGCTGAAGAACTGCTTAAGCACAGGAATGATCTTTTTTTGCTTGTACCTTGCCGAAGACCACCAAACACTCTGATGCTTCGAAATAATGTGATGGAATTCGGCTCTAGAAATGAAATTGTGAGCCAGATAATTAACGCACTCAAAGAAGATAAAGTGCACATAGTAGGTGTTTATGGACCTTGTGGCATAGGTAAAAGTCTTTTGGTGGCTGCAATTTTGGAGAAGATGAAAACACAAAAGGAATTTGATGAAGTCATAACAGTTGACCTTAGAGAGAAGCCAGGACTAGAGGAGATTAAAAACAGTTTCGCCAAGCAATTGGGAATGATATACAGTGCAAAACTCAATGCTCATAGAGCAGCTTTTCTGGCAGAAAAACTCAAGGAAAAGAAGTCTATCCTGTTCTTGGACAACGCCTGGGAAAGCTTGGACCTCTGGAAGATGGGCATACCAGTCGAGGAATGCAAAGTAATTGTCACTACACAAAAAATCGAAGTTTGCAAGTACATGGGAGCACAAGTAGAGATTTCGGTGGACTTCTTAACTGAGAAAGAATCATGGGAACTTTGCAAATTCAAAGCAGGAGTTCCTGACATATCTGGAACAGAAACCGTGGAAGGAAAAATAGCGAAAAGATGTGGCCGTTTACCTCTTGCACTAGATGTAATCGGGACAGTCCTGTGTGGAAAGGACAAGAGGTACTGGGAGTGTGCATTGTCAGAGCTTGAGAGTTCCTACCCTCTTGAGAAGGCCGAAGTGTTGCAAAAGATATACATGCCCTTGGAATCCAGTTACAACCATCTTGAAGGGGATGAGAAAAAATCTTTGTTCTTGTTGTGTAGCTTGTTTCCTGGAGGACACAAAATAAGTAAAAATGAGCTAACAAGTTACTGGACAGGAGAGGACATCTTCAACGAGTTCAATACTTTAGAGGAAACCAGGCGAAAATTACACATGAGGATCACAGATATAGAAGACTCTTTTCTGCTGTTGCCAATTAATTATACCAAATGTGTCATGATGCACGATATAGTGAGAGATGTGGCAGTTTTTATTGCCTCAAGATTCTGTGAACAATTTGCTGCACCATATGAAATTGCTGAGGACAAAATAAATGAGAAATTTAAAACGTGCAAGAGAGTATCATTTATAAATACCAGCATCGAGAAACTTACTGCACCAGTATGCGAGCACCTACAGTTGTTACTGCTCAGGAATAACTCAAGTCTGCATGAACTTCCAGAGAACTTCTTTCAAAGCATGCAGCAGCTGGCTGTCTTAGATATGAGTAATTCTTCCATCCATTCTCTGCTTCTCTCTACTAAAGACCTAGCAGCGGTCCGAACACTGTGTCTAAATGATTCAAAGGTATCTAGAGGCATTTGGTTAGTCAGTAGCTTGGAGAACTTGCGAGTACTTAGTCTAGCTGGTTGTTCAATTGATTCACTTCCAGAACAATTGGGAAATCTAAAGAAGCTTAGGCTATTGGATTTATCATCGATGGAATCCCTTGAGATACTGGAGGGACTAATTTCTAAGCTACGTTACTTGGAAGAACTGTATGTTGACACTTCAAAGGTAACAGCATATCTCATGATTGAGATTGATGACTTACTACGGCTCAGATGCTTGCAATTGTTTATCAAAGATGTCAGTGTTCTCTCTCTAAATGATCAGATCTTCAGGATTGATTTTGTGAGGAAGTTGAAGTCCTATATCATTTACACCGAGTTGCAATGGATTACTCTGGTCAAGTCACACCGAAAGAATCTATATCTCAAGGGAGTCACCACCATAGGAGACTGGGTGGTAGATGCATTGCTAGGCGAAATAGAAAACTTAATTCTTGACAGCTGCTTTGAGGAAGAATCAACAATGCTGCATTTCACTGCACTAAGCTGCATCAGTACATTTAGAGTTCTGAAGATTCTGCGACTCACCAATTGCAACGGCCTGACACACCTTGTCTGGTGTGACGACCAGAAACAATTTGCATTTCACAACCTAGAAGAACTCCACATAACAAAGTGCGACAGCTTGAGGTCTGTGATCCACTTCCAGAGCACAAGTAAGAACTTGTCTGCGTTTCCTTGCTTGAAGATAATCCAACTAATCAACTTGCAAGAAACTGTCAGCATTTGGAGTTGGGAAGGAAATCCACCACCACAGCATATCTGTCCAAACCTAAAGGAACTCAATGTTCAGCGCTCAGAAAACTTGACTTTGTCCTTGTTGCAAGAGTAGCTGCTATGCTTAGTAATCTTGAGAGGTTGACACTGAAAAGCAACGTGGCTCTGAAGGAGGTCGTGGCCGATGATTACAGGATGGAGGAGATTGTTGCCGAACATGTTGAAATGGAAGAAACTGTTGGAAACGAAATTGTCAGTGCTGATACCAGATATCCGGCACATCCTGCAGATGTCGGTGACTCGTTGGATCCAGAAGCATTTCCTAGTCTAACTCATCTCTCTCTTGTGGATTTACCTGGAATGGAGTACTTCTACAAGGTCGGAGGTGAAATCATGAGATTCTCCTGGAAATCACTAGTAAGTCTCAAGCTGGGAGGTTGCCACTCCCTGAAAGGGTTCCCAATCCATGGTGCAAGTGCTCCAGGACTGAAGAATGTTGAGTTAGTACATAATGGTGATAAAAGCTGGTACCAAACGCTGATATCACAGGATGCATCTTTGGCTGAACGATTCAAAACTACACAAGAGTAATCGGCCGGTGACTCCATCTTAATCTTAATTTATGTTTCATAAACTATTAAAGCTTGTTATGTTTCATAAACTATTAAAGCTTGTTGAAACTATTTGTAACATGTACTATTCCTCCAGCATTTCCCCCCTTCCTATAGAAACTATGTTATGCAAAGTCAAAATGTTGAAATTATAAGCACATAATGATTTAATTTATTCCATAAATAAATTATGACATTGCAGATGTAAACTAGATTGAACGCATCATTAGATCTACACATGTAAACTAAGCAGTAAAACATGAACAGATCAAATGTGCGCAACATGTCGAACACGTACCGAGGTGGCGGAAAGACCGGTTGCTCGGCAAGAACTACTCGCGGTTGCGGGCGTCGACGAAGGCGCGCAGCACGCGAGCGGAGAGGAAGGCGAGCCATCGCGGACGAACAGGGAGCAGTTGCGCGAAGCGCTTCCCAAAAACCTTAATGCCGCCTTCTCCCGGTGCAGGACGTCGAAGACAGAGGTTCCGGAGACCTGCTCTCCCGATCACTGGTGCACGCCGGCGAGCGGGATGGAGTAGTCTACGAGTGACGGCGCAGTACAGAGTAGGAGGCAAACCCTAGATTGATTTCGCGTATGTTGCGTGAAGGCAGCGGCTCAGTTTATATAGAGATAGGTCGCCTGATCAAGGCGCCCGCGTAACCGAACCGGATAAGTCGCGCGTAACCTATCCGGACTCCACGCCGTTTTCACACACCGAATTTTTCGGAATGTTTCCAAAACAAAACAAATCTGAATTTCCCGCAGCAAAACAAAACAGCAAAAGGAGGCTGCATCTACGCAAGGGTGAGAAGCCAATTTTGCGGACCATTCGACGCGTACGTCATGCACGCGCGCCGCCTGCCCTGCCATGCCAGGCCAGGCGAGGCGAGTGAGTGCGCGCATGTGTTTCCCCTCTTCTCTCCACCACACATGCTTCAAGTGGCTAGGAGGGCATCCTCCCTTTTAAGGAGGTCCCCCTCTCCTGGAATAAGCAAGGCGGTACTAAACTCCACATGCATGCCATCCCATGAGGTGGGCTTTTGTGATTTTCCATAGAATTAATCTTCGAATGGGCCTTAGCCCATCTATTAATTCCAACAATCCCCCACCAAATCTCAAAATCCCACTGAGATTTGCCTTTTCCAATGTACTATTTATATACCAGCGGTTCGATGGAGACTGATTAAGGTTGAACATCCACCTAGAACTCCAAGCTACACTTACTCACAACTTGAACAATGGACTACGCCTTGAATTGCAAGTCTTGTGCAAGCAAGTTTCACTCAGAGTCTTATCTGGTACTAGACCGTCTGTAGACTACCCCTCGGGTGGAGCGTATAAGTCATACTCCTAGGTCTTTAGTAAGCTTCCTAGAAGATTCACCCAAAATCTCCATAGACTGTGACCAACAGTCAAGCTTACAAAGGTGAATTCTTTCAAGAATGCTCTGCAGGACAGCATCTTCGCTAATTAAAGCCAATAGAAGTCATTAAGGCATAGCCAACCTGCCTTGCAGCTCACGAGAGTACATGCATCTTCACTTAGAGAGGGTATAGATTGGTACTCTCCTCTAGTTTACTAATGGTTTATTCTTCCCAGGTTCTAATTCACGGGATCTCCGATCACATAGACTGGGTTACCACCATAGTATAACTCACATGGGTCTCAAACCCATCTCCTTCGATGCATTGTCTATCACATTTCGTGATAGTCCCTTCGTGAAGGGATCTGCCAGGTTTCTAGCTGTTTGGATGTAATCCAACGTTATAACTCCGGAGTTTCTCAATTTCCTGACAGACCTCAATCGTCTTTTCACATGTCTAGACGATTTCATATTATCCTTAGAACTATTCACTTTGACAATTACCGTTTGATTGTCACAATTCATAAGGATACCCGGCACCGGTTTTTCAACAATAGGCAGATCCATTAATAGATCACGCAGCCATTCTGCCTCAACAGTAGCAGTATCCAGTGCCGTCAGCTCTGCTTCCATGGTTGACCTCGTCAAAATGATCTGTTTGCAAGACCTCCACGAAATAGCACCACCACCCAGTGTGAAGACATATCCACTAGTGGCTTTGATCTCATCCACATTAGAGATCCAGTTAGAATCACTATATCCCTCCAGTACCGCAAGATACCCAGAATAGTGAAGCCCCAATTCCATAGTACCTTTTAGATAGCGCATTACTCGCTTAAGCGTACGCTAGTGATCATCTCCCGGATTAGAGGTAAACCGGCTCAACTTGCTCACAACAAAGGAGATATCAGGCCTAGTTGCACTAGCCAGGTACATCAGCGAGCCAATGATTTGGGAGTATTCCAGTTGGTTCCTAGCAATTCTCTTGTTCTTGCGAAGCAACAAGCTAGGATCATAAGGTGTTGGAGAAGGCTTACTATCAATGTAGCCAAAGCGATTCAAGATCTTCTCCACATAATAGAACTACAACAGTGTAATCCCATTCTCACCTCTAATTAGCTTAATGTTTAAGATAACATCAGCTACTCCCAAATCCTTCATATCAAAATTTTGAGACAAGAATGATTTAACCTCATTTATCACCTCAAGGTTTGTCCCAAATATCAGTATGTCATCAACATACAAGCACAGAATAACTCCCTCTCCCCCACCATGGCGATAGTACACACATTTATCTGCCTCATTGACTGCAAAGCCTGTAGATGTCAATGTTTTGTCAAATTTCTCATGCCATTGCTTAGGAGCCTGTTTCAGACCATACAAAGACTTCAACAATTTGCACACTTTGCCTTCTTGACCTTCAACTACAAACCCATCAGGTTGATCCATATAGATCTCCTCATCCAACTCTCCATTAAGAAAAGCTGTCTTAACGTCCATTTGATGAACGAGAAGACCATGTGAGGCTGCTAGGGAAAGTAGCACACGAATTGTGGTCAATCTAGCAACAGGTGAGTAAGTGTCAAAGAAATCTTCGCCTTCTTTCTGAGTATAGCCTTTAGCAACAAGCCGAGCCTTGTACTTTTCAATAGTACCGTCAGGCCTAAGCTTCTTCTTGAACACCCACTTGCACCCCACAGGTTTACACCCATAGGGTCGCTCTGTCACCTCCAAAGTCCTGTTAGCAATAATGGAATCCATTTCACTACGGATAGCCTCCTTCCAGTAGTCTGCATCAGGAGATGCATATGCTTCTAAAATTGACTTAGGAGTGTCATCCATGAGGTACACAGTGAAATCATCACCAGAGGACTTAGCCGTCCTTTGTCTCTTACTCCTTCGAGGAGCTTCACTGACATCCTCCTCAGTGACATGTTCATGTGTATGTTCAGTTTGTTCTGGTGGTGTGATTGGACTGGGAATTACTTCAGAGGGTTGGCTCAAACTACTATGTGCATCCTTCATTGGGAAAAAGTTCTCAAAGAAGGTAGCATCACGAGACTCCATAATTGTACCAACATGCATGTCAGGTACCTCAGATTTAACTATTAAAAATCTATAGGCAATGTTGTGATGAGCATATCCTAGAAAGACACAGTCCACAGACTTAGGTCCCAGTTTGCGCTTCTTCGTTATTGGTATATTGACTTTCGCCAAGCACCCCCATGTGCGCAAATAAGAAAGTGATGGTTTTCTCCTAATCCATATCTCATATGGTGTTTTGTCCTTATTTCTGTTAGGAACTCTGTTTAACACATGATTCGAGGTCAACAATGCCTCCGCCCACCGTGCCTTAGGTAGTCCCGCGGTGTCCAACATGGCATTCACCAAGTCAGTCAGTGTGCGGTTCTTCCTTTTAGCAATCCCATTAGACTCGGGAGAATAGGGAGGCGTCCTCTCATGTATGATGCCATGTTCCTCACAGAATAAGTCAAACTCGTTTGAGAAAAACTCTCCACCACGATCAAACCTAAGCCTTTTTATCTTTCTATCAAGTTGATTTTCAACTTCTGCCTTATAAATTTTAAAATAGTCTAGTGCCTCGTCTTTCGTTTTTAACAAGTACAAATAGCAAAATCTAGTAGCATCATCAATCAACATCATGAAATATCGTTTTCCACCCTTCGTCAACACCCCATTCATTTCACAAAGATCTGAATGTAGGAGTTCTAGTGGTGCCAAGTTTCTCTCCTCGGCAGCCTTGTGAGGCTTGCGAGGTTGCTTCGATTGCACACAACTATGGCACTTAGAACCTTTGACAATGGAAAACTTAGGAATTAAAAACATGCTGGAAAGCCGAGACATCAAGCCAAAATTGATATGACATAAACGTGAGTGCCAAACATTAGCCTCATCATCCACACTGCCACAAATATGGTTCACAGATTTATTGCAGAAATCAGAAAGGGAAAAGCGGAACAGGCCTCCGCACTCATAACCTTTACCAATAAAATATCCATGTTTAGACATGACTACTTTATTAGACTCAAAAACCAACTTAAATCCGTCTCTAGTCAGACGGGAGCCACTAACAAGATTCCTGTCGATAGAAGGGACATGTTGCACGTTCTTCAGCTGCACGATCTTTCCCGAAGTAAACTTCATATCTACCGTGCCAACACCATGAATAGAAGCATGTGACCCATTCCCCACTAGGACGGTGGAACCCCGTGCGACCTGATAAGAAGAAAACAATGAGATGTCAGCATAAACATGTACATTGGCCCCAGTATCAACCCACTAATTAGTAGACTGATTAACTGAAAAAACAATAGGTAAATTACCATACCCGCTTCGATCTCCAGTGTTGCCAATGGTCACATTAGCAGACTTAGAAGTCTGGCTTGTAGGTGTCTTCATCCCCTTGCGCTGTGGACACTTCCTAGCCAGATGACCAGGTTGGCCACACACAAAGCAAGTCCTCTCATCCTGATTAGGATTATTGTTGTTCTTCTTCTGCTTCTTGAAGTTGGTGGTCTGTTGAGCTTTGTATTTCCCCTTCTCTTGTTCTGGGCCTTATGCACAACATTGGCACTGTACTGCCCACCATCGCCCT